CAGCTGACTGAATTTTAATAAGAAACCAGGACTACAGTACTTATTCTGTAGTCTTTAGACAACAGTTGCTTTCTTAAAGACTAGTTCTTACCAACCTTGAATGACTATGGATTATTTTGTGAAGGACGATAAAGTAATGTGTGTTCTTGTAAAATTAAATTTTATCTTCCTTCTCCTGAAAATCTGTATACACAGGAACTGAAAATCTTTGAACAGGTATTAAAATCTGTGTAAGTATACAAAGTAGCTGAGGGATAAAACTGTTTGCTTTTATAAAATATCTTTGATTACATGAGTATAATAAATTGTGTGCATATAAATGTGTGTCATATGCTTTCCTTTAAATATGTTTGAAAAGATGTTTGAAACTTGATTATACTATTTATAATTGGCACAGTACTTTGAATTATGCCAGTACTACATTGTAAAACAGAGTTGTATTTTTTGATATTTAACAATGCTTAACACTTTAAAATGCCACTTCTGAGGAATGAACATGGTGTAACACACTTAAATATGTGTGATGCCAAACTTTTTTAAATAAAATATAAATTATGCTTATTTATTATTTTCTTTAGTTTAATCTTGGTCATGTTTTGGTGTGTATTTTTAATTTTTTTCTTAAAGTAACTCTTTGGCATGAACATTACTACAGGTTTTTGATGAATATAATGAATGTATGGAATTCAACTGAATTTGCATGGTCTTAAGAATTTTTTCTGTGTGTATAAATTTAGCTGCTATTAACAGAAGAGAGAATTTTCTGTGAGTAGCCATGTGTGTTGATCAAATACAGTTTTTCTGAGATCTTCAATTAATCTCACTTTAAAATGACCAAAACATGTCTTTCTTGAATATCTTTGAATAAAAGTTTGTATATTATTTGTTTCACATTGTCCTTGATTTTTATCTATTTAGTTTCATATTAAAAAGTTGCCTGTTTTGTTTTTCTGTTCTTTTTTAAAATTTGCATTTTCTAACTTCACAAGTCAGTATTTTTAACTTGTTGCCAAAGGAACCTAAAAAGCAAGTCTCTTATAAGTAACTGAAGTCGTTGAAAATTTGCGATCCAAGAAAAAGTTATCTCAACCATCAGGGAAAAGTCTCCCAAGTATTGGTGAAATTTCAAGTTTTTATATTCCTTTGTCCCTAATACGAGTCGAAGATGACAATAAAACAGATAGCAAAGGACCAAAAAGTAAGTCAAAGAAAAAATACCTACTCCCGAGCAACTGAGAAATAAATTGTGGTTTTGATACTAAATCAAAGGAATTGAGAGGATGGGGGTGGAGGAGTGGGATGGACAGCTTAGGCTGCGGACCCTGAGAGGGTGCAGAGGGGAGGGGGATGAGAAGGAGAAAGTGTGATGGGGTATGGTGGCTCTGCCTCGGAAGAGGAATTAACTCATGAACAGAAGTTTAGGGAGAACAATCGATAATCAAGAGCAAGAATTATACCTATGATAAAATTTCCATTTAGTTTAATACAGAGTACTGAAATTTAAACATAAAACCATACTTAATACTTATTTGAACTTTTAATTATAAATGGAAATATAAGGTATTTAATCAGAAAAAGAAAAAGCCTCTGCTTACCTTAAGAAAGAATGAATTTCTGGGGCACCTGGGTGGCCCAGTCCTTAAGCGTCTGCCTTCGGCTCAGGTCATGATCCCAGGGTCCTGGGATCAAGCCCCGCATCAGGCTCCATGCTCAGCGGGAAGCCTGCTTCTCCTTCTCCCACTCCCCCTGCTTGTGTTCCCTCTCTCACTGTCTCTCTCTCTGTCAAATAAATAAAATCTTAAAAAAAAAAAAAAATGAATGCATTTCTGCATCAGTGTGGCTCCAGGCACATCCACTGTCAACAAACATGTTCAAGATCTAATGAACTTGGAGCACTATTAGCTGTTTTGGTGGCATCAAGGAAAATGTGTGTCATTATCTTTCCTGATCACTTCCAAACACTAATATTCTATGAAACCTCTGTGAATTATCAATTAAAGATTTATCAAAAAAATAAATTTTTAAGCTTTTCTTGAAATGCAATCTATTAAGGTTATAAAGTCTTACTTAGCATGTCAAGTACCTCCTTGTCTTTACTTCCTTCAAAGCTTTAATAGCTAGACTATAAACTAGTTTGCCAAGGTTTGTCAGTAGGTAGATTCATAACTGTCTTCAGAGGCTTTGGATATACCCTGCTCCCCCATACCCCTCTGTCTTTCCAGTTTGGAACGCCCTACCTTTAAAAAAAAAAAAAAAGGCATATAGAAGTATTCCTGGCTTGTTCTATTATTGTATGAGAAAGAGAGATCAGAAGTTGAGGCAGAGAGGCATTTTAGAAATCGTGCCAAGGAAACAGCACCAGGTTTGAGCAGCGTTCAAGGCTAGATTTGGGTACCCGCATTGTGAAGCAACTCTGCTCCCTGCTTTGCTTGGATCTATGCCTTGTTAGCCAAAAGTGCTGGTGGCTACAGTTAAGGTGGATGATGTGTATACTGCTAGGAGACTTTGACTTCCCTTCCTTTTCCTTGTGGACTCTGGCATATGATTCCTGGTTTTTATTATCATCCCTTATAGCAGGGGGACCTGGGTATTTATAATCTCAGCTGCTGACGGGTTATGAAATTTCTCCTTTAATAGATACAAGGACAGCATAATACTACATTGTGATGTGCTAAACAAGGCTGCCTCTTGTTTCAGTCCTGACTTGTATGGCAGTCAGTGCCTCGTTTTGGAGAAAAGGTTACATGGGAGAGTGGAATCACACTTTGAATCAAGACTCTGGGGTTCCAACCTGGCTTCATGACTCCAAGGAAAAAAGCAGTGTGTGTATTGGAAAATCTATGGGCATAAGAATTATAAGGCTCTGAATTTGCATCCCCCCCCATTAGCTGCTAGCTGTGACTTTAAACATTTACTTAACCTCTGATCCTTATCTTTCTGCTCTAAAATGGCAACAGTAGTGTCTCTGTCACAGGTTATTGTGGAATTTGAAAGAAATGATGTATGTGAATATGCCTAGAATACAGAGGACCCTCAATAAATTACCACTTTTGTTACTGTTCTCTGGTCCCCCCCTTTCTTTATTGTAGGGAAATAAGTGAGCTGCCATATCTGTATTTCCTTTCAGCTCTAAATGTCCAAGACTTAAAGTAGTAATTTGACCCCTCCAATACATACACCTGTTCTGATTTAGAAAATATATCTACTGTGGTAGGACTCCAAGTCTGAAATGATAACCAACATTTACTGAGCACTTCCTGTATTCCAGGTACTATGCAAATGGCCTTACATAAATAATATTTACCCTCTTAACAAACTTTTTTACAGAGGTACTAGATAAAACTTGGAGAAGTTAGCACACTGCTAATTGACAAAGCCTGGTAAATCTGACCCCTAGTGCATGTTCTTCACAGTACTGGAGAAAGTGCAGCAGGTTTGGGCAGATGGAAAAGCCGACTGCAGATGCAGTCACACCCACAACCTCAGCCAGTAAGAGGGGGAGCTCTGGAGCTGGTGAGGGGCTCGGCCATTGTAATCCTGCATCAACCAGTCACCGGACTCAGGCTGCCCCCTGGAGAGAGGATGTGCCAGTGGGGAGAGGTGGCTCTCCTTGCCAACACTCAGTAGCTGAATGCCTGCTTCAGTCCTGAAGAAGGGGACCTGAGTGGTGCACCGCAGCATCCACTCCAGGACACCATTCACCTTCCTTCACAGGCCTCCTCTAAAGATAGGGCTCTGACCACCCAAAGGGTAGATCCCATTTCTTTTCATTTGATTAGACCTCACTGTCATGATACTTTACAGAGATGTCCTTGTCAGACATGGGACAGTTAGACGAGAGACATCCCTCAAGAAGGAACTGCCTCAAGCAGATGACACCTGAATTGATAGGTGATGGGGGGGTGGGGAGATGGCTGATTATTTCAGGCAGAAAAACTAGTTTGAGCATAGCCCTGAGAGAACAGCATCCTGTTTCCCCAAACTACTGAATAGAAAGTGCCTTCGACTAGCCAAATGGTGCCTTTGTGTGAATTTTTAGAAGGCACTCTTAGGTTTAAATTCGTATATTATTACACCATCTGTACACGCTACTCTTATTCCCTTGTACACAAGTGGTTTAGTGTTGAGAGATGGCTGAGATGAGGCCAGGGCAGTAGACAAGTTGCAAGTGTGTCAAATCCTCTGTGCCCCTCCACCCCCGGGCTTCTGGAGCTCCCTGTTTCCCCGTAGATTATACCACCTGGGCGTTCTCGCAGCCCATGCACTACTGGCTAGGTCAAGGCCTTAACCCCCCTCAGGGGAGCAGCCATCTGCCATCTGTTATGTCAAATCATTTTCTAAACTTTTTCTAGCTTCCGGTTTTCTCATCTGCAAAATGGGGATAATGATAACTCTCTAGATGGTCGCAGGAGATATACTGCAATGGAAATTCTCCATCTTCCATATATATAGTTGATTAAAGGATACTGGGGCTGGGGAAGAAGCAAGGAAGGAGAAAGACCTAAATCCAAGGTACGCCAGAGAAAGGCGGAGCTATCTGTAAACACAAAACAGTCAAACTGCATTTATACTATTCTCTTTTGGCGAAACGACTGCTACACAAATCACATCTTAAAGTCGCGGGGAGGACGGCCTGGTACCCTCTTACCCGCACAGCGCTGGCGCGGCAGGAACCACGAAGGAACCATGGTTGCCAAGGCAACCCCTCGCGGCGGCCCGCACGTAGTGGCCGTCCGAGTCCAACCCCCTCACGCCGTCACGCGTCCTCGCGCTTCCCCGCCCCTAGGCGCGCTGCGGGGCTGACTACTGGCTAGACGTCTCGGTCTCACTATCCTCACTCCATCCGCGGAGCCAATGGCTGAGATCGCCAGGGATTCGTTCGCGTGAGTCACACGATGCCTGCAACCTCAAGGACCAATCACAGCGCTGAGAAGGCGGGTTGGGAGCCCTCACAAGCCAATAACGGCAAAAGAAGCCGGCCTCGCGCTCTTGGCTCCACCCCCGACGCTGAGAGGCAGGTTCCGAGGCTGCAGCACCCGGCCGAGTCTGGGTGACGGGGGCCCGCAGTTCCCGCGGGGTCGTCCAGGTGAGGGAGCTGGGAGAGAGTCCGGTAGGTCAGGGAGGGGGAGCGGCTGGCTCCGGCCAGCTGCTCCGTGGTGTTGAGGGGAGCGGGGTCCGGCGTGGAAGCGCGCTCGGGGCGCCAATGCCGGATGTGAGGACCGCGGGCAAGGGGAACAGGTGAAAGCGGAATGAAATCTTAAATGATGGAATTGGGCTGGGGCATGTTTCTTGCCCTTGAAGAGTTTTATAGTCATCGAAGACGGGAGATAGTAAGAGAGAGTTAACAGCACAGGGTGAAGGAGTGATGACAGCTTTACAAAACGGAAGCACTACCGGGGAGATAAGATCTGTTGTGTTTGTGCAGTGGACGTGGTGTGGTTGGGAAGAGCGTCTGAGAGGAGGTTACTGAAGGATGAGTAGGAGTTGGATATTACCGGCAAAGGATGAATGCTGTGAACGTTACACGTGAAATATAAGAATACGGCGAGGCGGGAGATGCGAGAGACGGAGAGCGGGGAAGGCCTGGCGGGGCCGGTTTTGCATGGCTGAGGGCCTTGGTCTTTGTCTTTAAGGGAGGCACTCCCTTGAAATTTGTTTAGAGAAGGGGGTTAACTCCCCTGTTTAGATAATATCCTGGCATTGTATCGGTTCAGGAGGGCAAGGTTGGAGATTGGGCAACTCCAACAAATGAGGAATCTTAGGCAGTCCAGGCTCAACTAAGGTATAGGGCCAAAGGACAGACACTGGCTGACCGTCCTCGGACGGCTAAACGTAACGGTTTCTCAGAGAATCCACAGGTAACTAATTTTTTTCTGAGGATAGAGCAGACTTTCAGTCAATCAGGTTGCACAAGGATGAGAAAAGGAAAAGAAAATTCGCTCTCTATTTCTCCTTCCTCAATTCCTAGTTTTTGTGTTGGTTCGTTTGGCAAAGGTGTATCCACTTTCTTGTGTTGGGAGAGTAAACTCCTGAATGTTAATTAAACCAGGTATTTCTAAATTGAGCGGGAGTTTGAAGGCTTAACTTAGGCAGCAGAGACAGGAGAGACTTAGAACATGCCTTCAGAAATGACGAAATAGGTGATGGTGCAATTCACCAAATTAGAGGTTAAAGAAGGTAGAGTATTTAGGCAGGGTTGCAGGGGGCAGTTGCTGAACTTTTGGACATGTTGAGTTTGATGGGCTTCTGAACTGATGGGAGATGGCCAGTAGAGTTTTAGATAATCAGAACCTGGAGTTTAGGAGAGAGGGCTGCTAAGGATAGAAAGGTTATCAGTTTATTTTTAAAACAGGAAATAGGGGCGCCTGGGTGGCTCAGTCGTTAAGCATCTGTCTTCTGCTTGGGTCATGATCTCAGGGTCCTGGGATCGCTCCTTGCTCCGCGGGGAGCCTGCCTCTCCCTCTCCCACTCCCCCCTGCTTGTGTTCCCTCTCTCGCTGTGTCTCTGTCAAATAAAGACATAAAATCTAAAACAAAATAAAAATAAAACAGGAAATAGTTACTATCACTCTAGGTACTCTGAAATAGTTAGAAAGGAGTAAGGAAAGCATTCTTGGGAAACTAGCCTCAGTTCTCAAGTCTTCCTTTCTCAAAAGCTGTAGCACAAAAATACTAAATCAGAAAGTGCTGTCTTTCTCGCCTCCTGGTTGAGTCTTTGGATCTGTTGTGCCCTCTACTCAAAACATTCCCTGTTCCTCCCACCCACCCCACCCTACTTTACTCTCTTTTAATCAGGCCACCTCCCCCTTAGCTCCAGGTCTCAGTTTAGATGGCATCTTTCTTTAAGAACTCTTTCCTGGTCCTCTGTGCTCCAGCACTCTATATTTCCAACCCGTTATTGTTCTTATCACATAATTTTATGATAGTCTGATTATTGCTTTGTATTCCTCTTTAGAGTTTGTATTTATTTTGAAGTCAGGGGTGGGGACAGCAGCTAGCACAGCAGCTGCACGTAGTAGCGCAAATTAAATCAGAGTGTGAATCCCAAGAACCAAGGAAGGAGAGTCTTTTAAGGAGAGAAGTAGCAAATCTTCAGATTGGTCAGATAAAATAAACTGTAAAGAATGTTTGTTGGATTTGGCAGCTAGGAGATCCTTAGTGATTATATTAGTAAGAGTGAATTCAGTGCAGTGATGAGCACAGAAAGCAGATTGTAAAAGCTGGAGAGTAAATGGGAAATGTGAATATGAAGACAACCTGTATAGAATAATCTTTAAAGGAGCCTTGGGAAAGCTATAGGAATTATTCCCTTTTTACTATAATATTTACTGTGTGCTTTATTATTTCTGATTACAGTAGAGCATAAGAGATGAGTGCATAGGCTCCCCCACTTAGTATTTTAGTTACTTGGGTTACTCTTTCTAAACCTCAGTTTTTCAATTATAAGATAGAGATGATAAAATTACCTACTTCATGAAGGTATGGTAAGGATTAAAGTCTTTAATATAGAGAGAGCATACAGAACTCTTAAAACACAGTTCCTGGCGTATAAGAAGTGCCCAAAATTCTTAGCTTCTTGTAGCTACTATGTGTAAGGTCGTATGTTAAGTACTTAACATTAGGTCTTAGACCCATTAGAACTATTGTTTTTCTTTTTTCAGCTTTATCAAGGTATAATTGACAGGTATAATTGTAAGATATTTAAAGTGTGCATTGTGGTGATTTAATATATATATATGTGTATATATATATATATATATATATATATATACATACACACACACACCTTGTGAAAAGATCCCCACCATCTAGTTACTGTTGTTATTCTTGTTATTCTGTGCATTTTGCAGATGATAAAACTGAGGCTCAGAGAGGTTATATAACTTGCTCAAGGTCACACAGCTAGTAAGTGGTGTTGGTTCAACATTGCCAGATTTGGCGACGACCTCATGAAAAATGAGGATTGGAATGACTGTTTTACCTTGCAAGTTAGAAGACCGAAGATACCTCGGTGTTAGCGGGAGCTAGATTGTAAGTAATTGAGTGAGTTGTATGGGTAAGAGCAAAGCAGGGGGAGGCTTTTTGTTGATTTCTCCCTAGAGAAAGAAGCTGGTTCAAAGAAAAAGAAGAGGGACAGTGGCTTGGGGAGGAGGGGATACAGGTTAGGAAAACTTTGCTCTAGAAATGAAGACTTGAGTATGTTTTTAAACTTGAGGGGGTGGACTTAGTGAAGAGGGAAGAACGAAAGATGAGAAAGGATAAGTGACAGACAGGTTCTCAGGTAAAATAAGAACAGAAGACTGGTCACTCTCAGAGAGGGGGAGTGAGAAAAGAGGAATTTTGAGGTTGGGATGGCCCAGGATGTAACTGTAGCTTCCATAGTATAAGTCATTGAGAATGACTAGGACAAAAAAATAAGGCTGCAGAGTGAATTCAGAGACCTGAGGAAGCTGGCTAAGTAAGCTTCCCAGACCCTCCATGAGGAACTGGTCGGAGGTCAGTATGGGAAGTGGGGCATTCTAAGCACTATTAAGAGTGCTTCTGAGGCTTAAAATAATTTTGTTTTTATTTTTTTTATTTTTTATTTTTTATTTTTAAAGATTTTATTTATTTATTCGAGAGAGAGAGCACGAGAGGGAAGAGGGTCAGAGGGAGAAGCAGACTCCCTGCTCAGCAGGGAGCCCAATGTGGGACTCGATCCCGGGACTGCAGGATCATGACCTGAGCCGAAGGCAGTCGCTTAACCAACTGAGCCACCCAGGCGCCCAAAATAATTTTGTTTTTAAAGTAGTGTATCATAATAAATTAGGAACAACCAGTGAACATTTTTAGGAAAATGGCACTCTTTATAAACTTTTCTTTTTTGATTTGGTGACGTATTATGCTTATTTGTTGTATAGATAAAGCATACTCGTAAGAAAATTGTAATTGTAAGAAGCTATAAAATGGAAAGAAATTTTTCTCCTCTCCTCCATTACTGTCCCCCCCCCCCCCACTGGGTGTGCACATATGCAAATGCGAGCATCTATTACCTCTTGATCTCTTTTCCCTAAAGGTCATCACTCTCAGTTGTTCCCTGGATATCCTTCCATACATTTTGTGTGTGTCTGTGTCCGCCTGTCCATAGGCATGAAAGTGCACAATATATAACCTTTTCACAAAAACAAAAGGGGGGTGCTCTTGTTATGTGCATTATTCTACAACATGCTGTTTCACTTAACATTGTATTTTGGACATCTTTCTGTGTGGAACATAGAGATTTTCCTGTTCTTTTAAGTGGCTGTATAATTGTCTGTGGAAGGACTTAGGGTTTTTTTAACTCCTTTCTTGTTGATGGACCTATTTCTGCTCTTTTTCTTTTTTCTTTGTTTTTGCTGCTATAAGCAATGCTTCTTTCAGTCTTAGTGTGCCTTAGTGAGAAAATTGCTGGGTCAAAGAGTATATTTATTTTGAATTGTGACAAATATTGTGAATTTTTTTTCAAAGGCCTAGTAATCCCTTCATTAACAAGTATAATGGTGTCTGTTTCCCCAAATTGTTACCCTTACCAGTACTGGGTCCCGAACACTAAAACTTTTAAAGATTTTTGTTTTAGGGCGTATTTCTTTATTTGAGTCAAACTGAACTGCTTATTTGTTTAGTGAACATTTGTATTTATTTTTCCGTGAACCCCTTGGGAATGGCCTTTGTCATTTTTCTATTGGGTTTTTAGTCTTTTTCTAAAGCACACTTTTCAGCCTTTTGTCATAAGTATTGGAAATATTTTTTCCAGTTTGTCATTTGATCTTTGACTTTATTTATAATTGTCTATTTATCCCCCAGTTAGAAGTATTTAATTTTTATGTAGTCTTACTTGGCAGAGTAAGTAAGGTTTCTTTATAGGGTTTTTGGTGGTTTTTTTTGTGGGTTTTTTTGTTTTGTTTTGTTTTAAATGACGCCCGAATGCCACTATTGCTAATTGAAATTACAAATTTTTCCATGGAGACCACATTGAAAAGTCTCTTTAAAGGTAGTTTGAAATTCTTTGTCCACTGTTGTTTAGATCCTGCTCTTGAAAGTTAACATGTGGCTTTTTTTTATTTTTAAAAGATTTTATTTATTTATTTGACAGAGAGAGAGAGCACAAGCAGGGGGAGTGGCAGCAGAGGGAGAGGGAGAAGCAGACTCCCCGCTGAGCAGGGAGCCCGATGCAGGACTCCATCCCAGGACCCTGAGATCATGACCTGAGCTGAAGGCAGATGGTTAACCGAAGGCAGATGCTTAAATGACTGAGCCACCCAGGCGCCCCTATTTATTTATTTATTTGAGATAGAGAGCGCACATGCCCTCACCCAAGCCCTCACCCTCATAAGGGAGGGGGAGTAGCAGGGAAAGAGGGGCAGGGAGGGGGAAAGGATCTCAAGTGGACTCTGCCCTGCGGAGTGGAGGCCGGAGTGGAGGCTGAGCAAGATCTCATGACCCTGAGATCATGACCTAAGCAGAAACTAAGAGTCCTGACCCTTAACTGATTGAGCCACCCGGGTGCCCCAACATGTGGCTGGCTGGCTGGCTGGCTGGCTGGCTTGCTTATTTATTTATTTATTTAAATTCAGTTAATTAACATAATGCTTTTATTTGTTTCAGGGGTACAGGTCTGGGATTCATCAGTCTTATACCTAGTGTTCATTACAACACCTACACTCTGTAATATCCATCACCTAGTTGCCCCATCCCTCCACCCCCTCCCTCCAGCAAGCCACACTTTGTTTCGTAAGATCGAGTGTCTCTTAAATCAGTGTCTACAAATGGACATGGTGATGATATCCAGTAGACCTTTTTTTTAATCACATGTTTAGGATCTGAGAATTGGTACCTTAGTATTTGTGGTTTTTAAAATTAACAGAAGATGAATTTTAAAAATTATTTTCTGGGAATTTCATTGTTTGGCTTACTTGGTTTGCTTGCTTGCTTATGTATTTATTTATTTTTACAGAATTCTAAGGCTTTCAGCAGAGATTTGAGAAATGGCAACAAATGAAAGTATCGGCATCTTTAGTTCAGCATCCTTGGCTGTGGAGTATGTAGATTCACTTTTACCTGAAAACCCTCTACAAGAAACATTTAAAAATGCTTGGAACTATATGTTGAATAATTATACAAAGTTCCAGATTGCAACATGGGGATCCTTGATAGTTCATGAGGTCCTTTATTTCTTGTTCTGTTTACCTGGATTTTTGTTTCAATTTATACCTTACATGAAAAAGTACAAAATTCAAAAGGTGAGTGTGATGGACTTGCAGTGAAATGTTATTATTCATGTTGACTATTTTAAAAGTAAATGTAACTTGGTTTTAAGAGAACCTAGATCAGGACTGTCCAATAGATAGAAAAAGAAGGAACATAATGTAATTTTACATTTTCTGATAGAATACATAAAAAGGTATAAAGAAATAGGGACATTAGTTTTAATATATTTTATTTAACACAATAAATTGAAATTATTTCAATAAGTAATCAGAATTTAAAAGTACTTAATGGGATGTTTTATGTTCATATTCTCACAATGTCTTTGAAATTGGGTGTTTTACATTAATTTTAGCCCATCTAAGTTTAGACTAGCCATATTTAAAGTGTTCTCTAGCCACATATTTCTAGTTCCTGCCACGTTGGACAACCCTAGATCACTATTGATAATGTTTCAAGAGTAATTTGTTAAATTGTGCTTTCAGTAGGTGTGACATTTATCTAATTTGGGTTTATAATCTTTAAACTAGCTGGAAAGAGAAGTTACGGGGATTTGTAGATACTTTGCAATTCACTCCAACCCTTGATTTCTCAGCCACTAAGTGTATGTTTAATATGGTAAAATCTTGATCAGGGCTATTAAAAGTTTTATTTTTTCCTTAAATATATGATGGTGGTTCTGCAGGATTCATGTTATCCCAAATGAGGAAGTCACGATGCTCCTAGAATCTAGGTATTTGCTCCAATGCACTAAGTTCCTTGAGATTCCCACCATGTGTGACAAAGTGTTGAGGTAGACACAGTGCCTCTTTTTAGTTGTAGTCTTGGGGAAAACAGCTCTACCACTGTGAAGACTAGAGCTTGACAGGGTGCCAGGAACAGAATCTGGACTAGCTTATCAGAGATGATTTATCAGCACTTGGCAAAGCCATAGTTGTGTCTAATACTTGCTGTTTACTTTTCTAAAAAGTCATGCCAAACTGAAACTCGGGGGCACATGGTCTTGGTAGAAAGTGGACATCTTGAGAGTGTTCACCTGTGGAGACTAATTTGTACTCACCAAGTTCACATCGGGTGGCAGTCATCGTGCACCTTCTCTCCCATCAGTCTTGTAGCCCCGTTGCCTCTCCCAGTGAGTCTCACTTTAAGGGCTCACTCAAGTGTTGTTGTTGATCCTCTCTGGGGATAGTGCATGGGGTCAGGCCACTAGACTCTAAGCCAAAGGAGGGAGGAGTAAAAGGAAAAGGGGGAGGAAATAAAAAGGGACATGTCCAAAGGGGAGTATTCTGTTACCCTAAATTAAGGACAGAACTTCCAAAATGCTTTTTATAACAGGGCCTGCTTTGAAAAGCAGAATTCGGTTTGGGTGTGAAGTTCTCATGCATGTTTGGGGTGACTCCGGCTGCAGTGTGTCACCCCTGTGTTGGTTGGTAGGGCTGGTTCATGGTGTGTCTGGCCAGGCCACAGTACCCTTGTCCTCCACCCCTTGGCCCTTGACTCGCTGGTCAGAGGTGGTAAATTTTCCAGAGAGAGGAAGGCCTTTTTCAGTCATGGTTTTATGTATGATTTTAAAATAAACTGTGGCAAAAGACAGTACAAGTAGTTGTCTAGTTGGTTACGGGTAGTTTTTTAAAGATTTTATTTATTTATCTGACAGAGCGAGAGAGCACAAGCAGAGGGAACAGTAGAGGGAGAGGAGGGAGGAGCAGGCTCCCTGTCGAGCAGGGAGCCCGATGCGGGGCTCGATCCCAGGACCCTGGGGTCATGACCTGAGCCGAAGGCAGATGCTTAACCATCTAGGCACCCTATAAACAGAATTGAAAGACTGGGTAGTGTGGCTTCACATTGCTTTGTCTTCCTTTGAGTTTCACAACTGTTAAAAATCCCTACTTTGAGCTTTTTTTTTTTTTTTTTTTATTTAATATTTTATTTATTTGTCAGAGAGAGAACATGAGTGGGGATAGGGGCAGAGGGAAGGTAGAAGCAGACTCCCCACTGAGCAAGGAGATGGACATGGGACTCGATCCCAGGATCGTGACCCCAGCCGAAGGCAGATGCTTAACCGACTGAGCCACCCAGGCAATCCTAACTGCAGCCCTTTAAATTGAATAAACTTGGGCGCCTGGGTGGCTCAGTTGGTTGGGCGACTGCCTTCGGCTCAGGTCATGATCCTGGAGTCCCGGGATCGAGTCCCGCATCGGGCTCCCTGCTCAGCGGGGAGTCTGCTTCTCCCTCTGACCCTCCCCCCTCTCATGTGCTCTCTCTCATTCTCGCTCTCTCAAATAAATAAATAAAATCTTTAAAAAAAAAAATAAATTGAATAAACTTAGGGTTTTTTATATGGCTTGCTAAGCAAGTCGATATCCTGATGAGGTTTTTTTGAACATTTACTACACTGATCTTACTTTTCTCGTTTTGGCTTTCATCTTTGAACATCGTTATCTGTGGGGCAGTAGCTCTCCATTCTTTGGGAACCACTGGACCCATTTCTGAAGTTCTTCCAGCTCAGAGAGTTTATAATTCTGTCATCATATGTGAACAAAACTATGCTTATTGCTGGGAATGAGCACCGCTGAATGGCTGGCAACATCGATTTCCCTTTGTAATAGAGGCTTCTGGTGCTGCCTGCGGGACTGCCGTGACATTTGGGAGAACCCACCTGTGATCTTAGCATAACACATTTCTGCTCTGAGAGTCCTGGCTGACAGGAGCGAATGATCTGTGGGCTGCAGAGACTGGACAGTTATTCTGTAGTGTTTCTTTGGTTTGTTTGAGATCATTAGTCTGGGCTTGTGTATTAACAGTTTCTTTACCTATTTAAACTAGTGATCACAGTTGTCAAGAAGTTAGAAGGGGAGGAGGCTGTGATTCCTGGGCCTCAGTTACTGTCACATAGTCACTGTAATATAGAATTCACATCATAAGATTAATTAAATAATGTAGAATTACGGTCACCTAGAAACATTACAGAAACAATTAGGAATTCACTCTTAAGTATCAAGTCAAACTACTGATAGCAGAGGCTAATAGTAAATATTGTGATTTTTCTCCATAGGATAAACCAGAAACATGGGAAAACCAATGGAAATGTTTTAAAGTACTTCTCTTTAATCACTTTTGTATCCAGCTTCCTTTGATCTGTGGAACTTATTATTTTACAGAGTATTTTAATATACCTTATGATTGGGAAAGAATGCCAAGATGGTATGTAGATAAAGATTTGATTTTGATACTCAGTCATGGTTTATCGTCCAGTTAAAATACCCTTCATATTTATCTTTTTCTTCTTGTTTGTTCTAAACTTTAGAAGTAAATAAAATGTAGAAAAGTAAGCCATAGTAGAAACTTAAAACGTTTCCATTTTTCTGTCGTCCTGTGTTCTAATGTAATATTTTATTGGAAAGTGACTTATGTATTTATTATTTTGGAAAGTGATTTCTTACATCAGAAGTTTCGGTAGCATCCTTTATATTATTTTATACAGATACACCAGCTTATACCAAGAAAAACTATATTACATTTTAAGTCTGAAATGAATAAAAAGAAAAGAGTAATTGTGAGGTTTATAAAAGTTGTGTCCATATAGATGCAAATATATATTACCTGAGCACTAGTAGTTGTGTTCAAATAATTGTATTCAACTATCTGCTCTTGACATAATCTGAATACAGATATACCAATATATAGGTGTATACTTTTTCTTTGTAATATATGTAATAGAAAAGTTTTTGTGTATGTGTTTATTTGTATATAAAATGTTTTGCCCATTGCACTTATGTCCCTCTCTTTGGTGGAAAAAAGTGATGATTTTACTATTGATAATCTCAGTTCAAATCCCTCATCCGTCCTTATCAATATTACTCTTTTCCTAGAAGTTTTGGATTTTGTTTCTTAACTTTGATTTTATACATGTGAAAATTTTTTCAGTTTTTTTTTCTTTAAGTAGGCTCCATGCCCAACATTCAGCTTGAACTCATGACCCTGCAGTCAAGAGTTGCATGTTCTACTTACTAAGCCAGCCAGGCGCCCCTGTACATGGGAATTTTTAAAAAATGAACTAGAATTGGAATAGTGGTCAATCCCTTTAACCCTGCTGCAGGAGGTATTATATAGCCACCTTGTACGTAGCAGTTGTGAGAGTTTGTTGCTATGTATCGAGGTTGGTCAAGCTGGTCAGTGGGTATTTGGTTTCATGTAATTCTTCAAACAGTGATCCCAAGTAAAAGTTTAGGTTAAGTAAAAGTTATTTTATACTCATTACAGTATTTTCATCCTAAAGGTATCTGCTTTTGGCAAGATGCTTCGGCTGTGCAGTGATTGAGGATACCTGGCACTATTTCCTGCATAGGCTCTTACATCACAAAAGAATATATAAATATATTCATAAAGTTCATCATGAGTTTCAGGTATGTTAGAATTATTTTTAACACATTTTTTTTCTATTAGAGGCAAAATGCTTTTTTAAAATCTTCCGAGGTTTTAAAAAAATTGTCAGTGATGTTTTTATTTCTTTCTCTTTGGCATGAACATGTTAAGAACATCACACACACACAGCCAGTTCTATAAATTTTCAAGAGAAGTGTTACATGAAATAGTTCAGTCTTTCATTTGGGGCCAGACTGCTATCCTGTCACGGTTGGACGTGGCAGATTAATAGAGACCATAGTGATGTTAAGGTCATTTAAATTGGACCCCAAAACAATGAACTTTTCATCTTTAAATTTCTAAAACAATTACCAACTTGTTTGATGAACACATTCTCACCTCATTCTGACCCCCACAAAAACTGATTTTATCAGAACTGCTTTGAATGTACCTTTGTCAAACTGGTTTCGTCGATATGTTCCGCATTGGTCCTGATTACATGGTATGCTAAATCAAGTATCCCTTTCTTAGCAGAACAAATTCAGAAGCATAAACCAAAATTAGAATTTAAGTCAATTGTTTAATGCCTTTATCTTTTTTATATTTAATATTTTTATTGATGTTTGCTTGTTGAACCCAGTGAGTCATTCTTTTGACAAATTTTCCGGCGTCAGGAAGACAAAGAATTTGAATTTACAGTGTCAAATAAAGAATAATAGACAGATCATGAGCACTTTGAGGTATAGGTTGGGCTCTGACTAATGCTCAAGATTAGGGAAACTCTTTGGGACTGTCTGATCCAGAATTTCACTGATTCTTGCCCCTGGGGATGTGGGAATCTGGGAAGGGTTTGGCACATGTTTTCATACCCCTCCCATGTTCATCACCATAAAGAGGAGCACCCACTTAGCTCATCTTCTTTTTACTGGAAACTTTTGAAAGAAAATACAAGAATTCATACGTATCTAGGAAACAAAGGTTGCCAAATACATGTTCAGATTGTTAGACTTTATTTAGAAGACTGAATAATTTTTTAATGCCTTTATCTTAAACCATCAAAGGCAGTTACTAAGATTCTATTAAGGATATCCCTAGACCTTTTGATGTTTGGTAGGAACAAAAAGATGTTTTTATTAAGAATTACTGTTACTTGTTTATATATCTATGGTTAGATATATGTCATTACCTATAGAAACAATCTAATTTTATAAAACTTTGTGCATAAATTAGAATATATGTATTTGTCACGGTTCTTCAGAGAAACAAAATCAGTAGGAGATACATACACACACACACACACACACACACACACACACACACATTTATTTTAAGGAACTGGCTCATGTGATTGTGGGGCTTGGCAAGTCTGAAATGCGTAGGACAGACCACAGACTGGAAATTCAAGCAGGGTTTCTCTATTGTAGCCGTGAGAATTCTTTCTTCCTCGTGAAACCTCAGTCTTTGCTTTTAAGGCCTTCAACTGGTTGATTAAAGCCCACTTGCATTATGGAGGGTAATCTCCCTTACTTACTTACTCCCTTACTACTGATTAGTAGTCACATCTACAAAATACCTTCACAGCCGTACGGTGTTTGACCAACCAGTTGGGCACTGTAGCTTAGCTAAGCTGACACATAAAATTAACAGTCACAATATATTAAGGAATTCGTATCTATTTATTTTAGGCTCCATTTGGAATGGAAGCTGAATATGCACATCCCTTAGAAACTCTGATTCTTGGAACTGGATTTTTCATTGGAATCATGCTTTTATGTGATCATGTCATTCTCCTTTGGGCATGGGTGACTATTCGTTTGATAGAAACTATTGATGTCCATAGGTGAGTTATGGTTTCTATTCAGGTGTAAGGTATCAAAATATAAAATATCTTTGTTTTCATGGTCATAAGATCATCTTTATTTCTAAGCAGACTAATAGGACAGATTAAATTGTAAAGGATGTCTCCTTCCTTCATTCTTTGTTTCCACTGTTGTCTTCTCCCTCCTGCCCTCTCAGCTTTCTGAGGAAGGGAGGGGGTGGGTGATTCAGAGCTGTACAGTTGTGGCTCTCAGATTCTAGATTTATTGTTGGAAATAAAGGAGGATACTCTAAAAGAATTGCTACATAGTGATTCTCAGGTTTAACCTTCTTAGTGCTTGATACTCATTTCATTTAACTTTTCCTAAAGGACATAGACTGTTACGGGCATTACAAACTGGTGAGAAAGCTCCTCTAAAACAGAAAAGAAAAATAATTCTTGAAAATCTGTGTCTAAAGATTCATTACCATAACCCCTCTTTCATCCCCTGTTGTGTAATAAATTCCATAGATCTTTCAAGGCTTTTTTTTAATTTCTTAAAATGGTTTCTGGAATATGTACCATTTTTCTGTGAGTTTTTGTCTTGTATAAACCTGTCAGAAACAAAGTGACTTAGGTAAAGTGGAATATTATTTGAATTAGTTAACAGGCATATTACTATCAATGAAAATGTCAGTTATTTAAAATGTATTTATTTCCTTAATAATCTTTATCATTTTTATTTCAGTGGTTATGACATTCCTCTCAACCCTTTAAATCTGATCCCTTTCTATGCCGGTTCTCGGCATCATGATTTCCACCACATGAACTTCATCGGAAACTATGCTTCAACATTTACATGGTGGGATAGAATTTTTGGAACAGACTCTCAATTTATTGCCTACATTGAAAAGATGAAGAAGATTGAGAAAAAGACTGAATAAATATCTAAACCTTCCTGAACATACACACTTTCCTGAATTGAAGCGAGTAGCTAACATTGCTTCTGCGGAGCAGAAATAAACATGTCTTGGCTGCTAAGTGATACAAAGAACATTAACAACCTTTAATTATCTTCCTAGTGGGAACTTTTTCTACTTTACATAAAAGTTCTGTATGTGTAGAAATAAGTATATATTTAAGTACGATTTTCATGAGGAAGTTGTAAAGGCCATGTTGCTAACCTTACAGAAAGGTTTTAAGTAATGGAAAAAATATTAATTTCTGTCTTTCGCCTAGTAATACCATAGGCCTGAAGTTGAAATTGGTCTTTAAACTCTTTTAAATATATAGTGGCCATTTCAGAAACTCTTAGTAGGGTGTTGGCCTCATATTGAACTTTAAACATTTTTTAGAATTTGCTTAAACATCAAAGTATCATGGGTTGAACCATATCAGTTGACAGTGAGTGAGGCTGCCGAATCAGGAATAGCCAGTACCAAGAACTTCGCTCTTGTCCTGAGCTGACCGGTTTGGGGTGATTCTCTTTCTTTGAGAAGTCTTTTGGGATTGCACTGTACTAGTATGTATAAATTAAGGCATTTCTGAATTGTTGTAAGTGGAATATTTTAGTCTAAAGGTTTTCGGGTTACTTGAATTTTTTAAAAAATTGAGCTTTATTTCTATTTACCCTTTCATTTTTGTATTTCAAGTTTTCATTATACTTAAAGCTGTATCTTGAAACGTGAACTGACTTGCTGTATTTGCACTTTGGACTATTGAAATAAATGTGATTTTTTTGTCTGATTATCCAGTTTCCAATTTTGAACATCAGTTTTATTTTATTCTTATAAGGAAAAAGTACAGAAATCATTAAGTTTTGTAATAAAAGGAATAATTCTACGTTTTTTAAGTGCTTCATTTGCTGAACTTCTTGGGCAGTTTCAACATGTATTTATCAGCTATGATTGTGGGGAATTCCAGTGACCTAGTATTGAGACAGCTCTTCTCTGGTTAGAAGATGTATGCTTTCTGTACAGAGGGAAGAATAGAGTTAAACTTTTTTTTAAAGATTTTATTTATTTATTTGACAGAGATAGAGCAGGAACGCAAGCAGGGGGAGTGGGAGAGGGGGAAGCAGGTTTCCCGCCGAGCAGGGAGCCCAATGTGGGGCTCGATCCCAGGACCCTAGGATCATAACCCAAGCCGAAGGGAGACACTTAACAACTGAGCCACCCAGGCGCCCCTAGAGTTAAACTTTTTAAGGCTGATTTAAATCTGGTATCTAAATTCTAACTCAAAACAGTTGATAATTCTAACAGTATATGATAGTACCAAATTGTTATTTATAGTATGGAGCCATTTTCTGTTGTTTCTTTTCCTTCTTTTGAAAACACACAGTAAAGAGATCAAATAAGGATTCAGAAAGTTAAACAATAATCTGCTAGACCATGTTTTCTAACTTGTGCCTAGTCCTATGACCCTTTCCATTTGCCCTTTCTGTCCCTTCCCCTACTCTCATGGGTGTGGGTTTAATATGTTAGCTCTTCATTCTCAAGCCGATTTGGGGGCTGTGCTTAAAATCGTGCTGTTCAATTGTAATCTATAGGAAGTTTTATTCTACCTTTTGTTCTCTAATATTGATAGAATGCACAGGCACCTAATTAGTTAAAGGTGACTCTCAGTACTTGGGGGGAGGGTGACCTCTACCGTTGGAAATGGTACTAAACAACTTGGTATGCCTAATTCATCACACTAGTTAACTTACTGTATACTCTGAATTCTGCTCTGAGCTTTTTTTTTTTTTTAATATTTGAGCAAGAGAGAGAGAGAGACTGTGGGCTAGCAAGGGGTGGGGTCAGGAGAGAAGCAGATTCCCTGCTGAGCATGGAGCCTGATGTGGGGCTCAATCTCAGGACCCTGAGATCATGACCTGCACTGAAATTAAGAGTTGGATGTTTGAGCCACCCAGGATCCCCACTACCATGAGCTTTTTTTTGATGTAGTGTTCCATGATTTATTGTTTGCATATAATACCCAGTGCTCCATGCAAAATGTGCCCTCTTTAATACCCATCACCAGGCTAACCCATCCTCCCACCTCCCTCCCCTCTAGAACCCTCAGTTTGTTTTTCAGAGTCCATCATCTCTCATGGTTCATTTCCCCCTCCGATTTCCTCCCCTTCATTCTTCCCCTCCTGCTATCTTCTTTTTTTTTTTAACATATAATGTATTGTTTCAGAGGTACAGATCTGTGATTCAACAGTCTTGCACAATTCACAGCTCTCACCATAGCACATACCCTCCCCAATGTCTATCGCCCAGCCACCCCATCCCTCCCAGCCCCCCACCACTCCAACAACCCTCAGTTTGTTTCCTGAGATTAAGAATTCCTCATATCCCAGGATCGAGTCCTACATCGGGCTCCCTGCTCAGCAGGGAGCCTGCTTCTCCCTCTGGCCCTCCCCACTCTCATGTGCTCTCTCTTACTGTCTCAAAATAAATAAATCTTTAAAAAAAAAAAAAGAATTCCTCATATCAGTGAGGTCATATGATACATGTCTTTCTCTGATTGACTAATTCCGCTCAGCATAACACTCTCTAGTTCCATCCACGTCGTTGCAAATGGTAAGATTTCATTCCTTTTGATGGTTGCATAATATTCCATGGTATATATATACCACACCTTTATCCATTCATCTGTCGATGGACATTTTGGCTCTTTCCACAGTTTGGCTATTGTGGACATTGCTACTATAAACATCGGGGTGCATGTACCCCTTCAGATCACTACATTTGTATCTTTGGGGTAAATAACCAGTAGTTCAATTGCTGGGTTGTAGGGCAGCTCTATTTTCAACTTTTTGAGGAACCTCCATACTGTTTTCCAGAGTGGTTGCACCAGCTTGCATTCCCACCGACAGTGTAGGAGGCTTCCCCTTCCTCCGCATCCCCGCCAACATCTGTCGTTTCCTGACTTGTTAATTTTAGCCATTCTGACTGGTGTGAGGTGATACCTCATTGAGGTTTTGATTTGGATTTCCCTGATGCCGAACGATGTTGAACACTTTTTCATGTGTCTGTTGGCCATTTGGATGTCTTCTTTGGAAAAATGTCTGTTCATGTTCTCTGCCCATTTCTTGATTGGATCATTTGTTCTTTGGGTGTTGATTTTAAGAAATTCTTTATAGATTTTGGATACTAGCCCTTTATCTGATATGTCATTGGCAAATATCTTCTCCCATTCTGTCGGTTGTCTTTTGGTTTTGTTGAGTGTTTCTTTTGCTGTGCAAAAGCTTTTTATCTTGATGAAGTCCCAATAGTTCATTTTTGCCCTTGCTTCCCTTGCCTTTGGCGATGTTTCTAGGAAGAATTTGCTTCGGCTGAGATTGAAGAGGTTGCTGCCTGTGTTCTCCTTTAGGATTTTGATAGACTCCTGTCTCACATTTAGCTCTTTCAGCCATTTTGAGTCTATTTTTGTGTGTGGTGTAAGGAAATGGTCCAGTTTCATTCTTCTGCATGTGGCTGTCCAATTTTCCCAACATCATTTGTTGAAGAGACTTTTTTCCATTGGACATTCTTTCCTGCTTTGTCGAAGATTAGCTGACCATAGAGTTGAGGGTCCATTTCTGGGCTCTCGATTCTGTTCCATTGATCTATATGTCTGTTTTTGTGCCAGTACCATACTGTCTTGATGATGACAGCTTTGTACTACACTTGATCTTAGCCAAAAGGCCGAGAAGCGATGATGACAGCTTTGTAATAGAGCTTGAAGTTCGGAATTGTGATGCCGCCATCTTTGCTTTTCTTCTTCAACATTCCTCTGGCTATTCAGGGTCTATTCTGGTTCCATACAAATTTTAGGATTATTTGTTCCATTTCTTTGAAAAAAGTGGATGGTATTTTGATGGGGAGTGCATTGAATGTGTAGATTGCTCTAGGTAGCATTGACATCTTCAGAATATTTGTTCTTCCAATCCATGAGCATGGAACGTTTTTCCATTCCTTGTGTCTTCCTCAATTTCTTTCATGAGTATTCTATAGTTTTCTGAGAACAGATTTTTTGCCTCTTTGGTTAGATTTATTCCTAGGTATCTTATGGATTCGGGTGCAATTGTAAATGTGATCGACTCCTTAATTTCTCTCTCTACTGTCTTGTTGTTGGTGTATAGGAATGCCACTGATTTCTGTGCATTGATTTTCTATCTTGCCACTTTACTGAATTCCTGTATGAGTTCTAGCAGCTTTGGGGTGGAGTCTTTTGGGTTTTCCACATAAAGTATCATATCATCTGCAAAGCGTGAGAGTTTGACTTCTTCTTTGCCAACTCGGTTGCCTTTGATTTCTTTTTGTTGTCTGATTGCTGTGGCTAGGACTTCTAATACTATGTTGAATAGCTGTGGTGATAGTGGACATCCCCGCCGCGTTCCTGACCTTAGGGGAAAAGCTCTCAGTTTTTCCCCATTGAGAATGATATTCGCTGTGGGTTTCTCATAGATGGCTTTTATGATATTGAGGTATGTACCCTCTATCCCTATACTCTGAAGAGTTTTGATCATAAAGGATGCTGTACTTTGTCAAATGCTTTTTCTGCATCTATTGAGAGGATCATATGGTTCTTGTTCGTTCTTTTATTAATGTGTTGTATCACATTGATTGATTTGTGGATGTTGAACCAACCTTGCAGCCCAGGGATAAATCCCACTTGGTCGTGGTGAACGATCCTTTTAATGTACTGTTTCCCATGAGCTTTTAATGCATAATCTCATTTAAGTCTCTGAGGCAAATGCCATTTTCTCCATTTATATGTGAGGGATTTGATATATGAGAGGTTAAGTTACTCAAGATCACTGGGCGAGCCTTTTGACATCAGAAGCTATGCTTGCAGCTACTATATTCACTACACTGGAGACTTGCATCTTCTAGAAAAATCTCACAGGATAGGTTTCCAAATTTTTCCCTCATTATGTGAGGTTGTCTGAGAAGAAATTCTAAACCAGTAGCTACCCAGAAAGTAAGGTTCACATACAACACTTTAGTGCAAATTTTAATATGATTTACTGGCCAACCTCTTTTAAAATTACCTGGGTTAAGCTTCTATCTCTTTTCTATTTGTACTTGTCAAAAATAACACATGGAGACTAGAGTACAAATACAACACATAGCTCTGATTCTACTCTAGAAAATTGTAAAATGTTCTGTTTCTTGGATTACCTATGGGACTTTACTGAAGCTTAAGGTTAACATTGTAGCTAAAATGAATAGCAGAATATGTTAGAATTACATCTATAATGTCACAATTAACTAGTATTTTACTCTTCTGCATCTTCTGGCTAAAGACATTTAGACCTTTAGAAAAGCCTGTGTTTGCAATATTTCACAAGACCTCCCTCTGTCCTGCAGCTCCCAGGTCTCCTGCTCTCACATAAAGCCTCGGGCTATGAAATCCATTTTCAAGTCCCATATCCTCCCTTGCTGGAGAAAGACTCTAAACCATTCGGTAGCGGGTGGTCAGAAGGTTGTATGTTCATCTCTGAGGATTTAGCTCCTAATCAATTCTTCCAGAAGATTATAATCTCTGCCAGTATTCTGAAGAGTGATGTGCCTCTGGTCACATGAATGGCAGGTGACCGTCAAATGCTGACATTCTTTTTTTTAAAAATTTTTTTATTGTTATGTTAATCACCATATATTACATCATTAGTTTTTGATATAGTGTTCCATGATTCATTGTTTGTTCATAACACCCGGTGCTCCATGGAGAGCGTGCCCTCTTTAATACCCATCACCAGGCTAACCCATCCCCCTACCTTCCTCCCCTCT